GGCAAGAGAATCTGAACACATGTGTGTTAATAAAATCCAACTAAACACAACACAAACATTTAACGGAAGTAATTCATTTAAAATATCATTACAATAACAGTATCAGCTTTAAACACCTAGCTTGCTTGTGACATGAAAAACATTGATTTGTACCTTTTTTGTTTCTTCACTCAGGCGGATTCCATGTTCATTCATTTATAACACATACACAATAAAAGTAATGATATTTGAGTGTTCTTGCCTTTATAATCTGCAGCCCAGCTGCATAAAACTAAGCACCAGAACACACATGAACTCAATGAAAATCAGATTCAGGTGTAAAATATTATATGCAAACAAAATGATAAGGCACAAGAGATGCAGCTTGCAACAGTATTTTTTTTATTTAGGAGCGCTTTTTCTTTGAAGGTGTGTTGGCTGGGATATCTGGTCTCAACTCTCTGTACTGTTGCTGGAAGTAAATTCAGAGTCACATATATTTTCATTTTATCAGACTGTAATACTGAGTTATTTGTTAACATAACTAACATTACACAACTTCAGATAAAGCCATAAGTAGTTACTCCCAGCAGATATTGAACATATCAGACAATCAGGCAATTGCTGTCTACACAATGAAGATTATCTTAAAATGGATCTACAATACATGCTGTCTGTTGCATGCAGACTGATTGCTGTTTGTCTAACCTCCCATTTATACTATTGTCTACTGCTTGCCGCTACTTGAGGAATATGCAGGTTAGGCTGCTGCTGCTGATGGCATGTGAAAACTTGTATCATATTCAAGACGTCTTTTAGTAGTTATCACCTTTTATAAATTTCTTACTTGTTTTAGAAAGTAATTCATCCTTTTTTATGTTTAGTGTTCTAACTCTATAGAATGAGTATGAGTGTAACTGCAAAGTCCTGATTTGAATCCAGTTGTTTCCACATTCTAGGACAAGGGAAATATGTTTAACTGTAATACAGCTGTTAAAATACAATGAATCAATCCATAAAAGTAAAACAGAATTGGTAACTGGTCAGCTTTACAAACAAACAATCTTTGTCAATTCATGTCAGCTAGTCATCTGGGACCAATTTTTTGGGGGTTCTAGGCTTATTGTTTCTGGACATGATAAAGCGAATGTGGTGAAGGCTTTCTGGGATCAAATTGTCAGTGCAAAAAAAAAAAAACCAGATAGAGAATCCAAGCATTGAAAGAATAATTTAACAGGGGCTGAGTAGAAGTTCTGAAAGATAATCAACACGGAGTGGGACACATAGGCAAACTTTTAATCAGGTTGACACTGGTTCTATTTACATGTCAAATTGTAATTGGCTACTGAAGAAGGGATCTGAGCATGTGTGGAAATGTCCTGAGTGCAATGATGTCAATTCTTATTTCGTTCATTCATTCATTCATTCATTCATTCATTCAATTCATTAATTCACTTCACTCTCTAAGTTATGTGTGCATTAATTTGTATGTAGCATCACTCTTACTCAGTGTTACTTGTGTCTGCTTAATTAAATTGTGACTTCACTCTTGCTAAACTTGTAAAAAACTGTGTGTGTCTAAATTTGCATGTAGCTGTATCAGTGTCTCTTTACTTGTGTCTGCTGATGAGAATTTTGTAACCATTGTGACTATTCCATCTCTTGTTACAACTTGTAAAAAACTCTTGGACATCTGGAAATGATGATTCATTTTAGCTTGCCTGGAGGAAATGTGATCAATTAAAATGAATAACAATAGTTTCTTGACTTATCAAAATCTAACATGAATGTACAAATGACACCAATGAATTTACTTACCAGTTCATTGTCTGATGGCACTCTAGACAAAAAGTCTAACAATTCATTGTTGGCAATGGCATTTGGTTTGCGTAATTTCTTTGTGAATTTATTTATACCTAAATAAAGGCGAAACAAGTGTAAATGAGTAGACTGCTAAAACAGGAAATAAATTATTATGAGCTTTTGACGCGCCCTGGGAAACAAGGATTTTTCATAAAAGATTATTTTGGGAAATATTTTAATTACTAAATATAAAGAAGCAAGAGCAATTATTGAAACAAAAACCTAACAGAACAGAACAAAATGGCATAATTGATATTATGATGTTGAGCTAGTAAATCTTTAAAAAAATGTAAAAAAAATAATGGGAAAGGGGGGGGGGGGGGAGTATAATCAAACCCCCATGTCACACTAGAGCTTACATAGACATCTGCTACATGTTTTACATATATTATTGTGCTTTAGGGAGTTGAAACGGGGTTACTGGGACCTCTTGATCCGCGAATGGTGGCATTTTGTGTCACCGGGTGTTTATCACTCAGTGTGATGTCCTGGTGGGGTTAAACACCAATCACTCTCACTATGGACTTTTGCAACCAGTACCAGAGATATCCAGTACACACCCTTAATGGTCTACAGGTTAATTCATAACCCTTTTGTGGTGCCCAATACAATTGTGAATTATGAAATACAGTTAAACAGTGTTTCTGGGATTTATCCTTGTTAAAGTTAAAAACAAAGAAATGCGAAGCTATAATACAGGCATTTCAGCAACTGCCCAAAAATGTCATGTCATCAGAAGCCTGTAAAAGCTCTTTGGGTGAGAGGATTGATGCAGCTGGTAGCACGTCTGCATGTAAACTGATATAAACTCTCAGATCAATCCAGACTAAAACAGATACCATCTGGGAAGTAAAGGCACTAAATGTGATGTTGACCACATTGCTCATTAAGTGCTGATTGATCAATAAATAAGTATAATTGCCTGTGCCAAATGCCCAATATGCCACAAGACATGAAAATGACTGACTAACTTTTTACCCCACCAGGACATCACACAAGCGACAAACACCTGATGACACGATGTGCCACCCTGTGGGTGAGGATCAACGTGGAGAGGTCCCAGAAACCGCGTTCAGCCTTTAGGCCATATTTATGGCCACTGCTATACTTGCGGCCCCTGGCGAAAAAAGCAGAGTTTATGGCAGAACTATATGCTCTTCAAATAACTGAACAAACAAATTTCATCCTATGAAGGATGAGGAGTATATTACAAACATGAAAATTTCTATTACTTGTGTTTGATTCCAACTCCATAGAGACCATCTTCGCATCACAACATATGTGTGAAATGAAAAATCTTTTCTCTTTAGACAACTTAAATATTTTTAGAGTTATGTGTATAGGATGTTAAATAACATCACATTCTACATTGTAAAAAGAAGATCACCTACCCCATATTAACAGCAAATAGCGAAGTGGAATGTAGAAAAGAACGATACTGCCAGCCAAAAGTGCAATAACAGCCAGGGTAGATAACCAAGGGACACTCCAGTTGAAAGTGCTAAAACAAAGTTTGAAACAAGAAACATGTAGTAAATTTACATGGAAAACTGAAGGAGACATTTAACAAAATATGTTGACCTTTAGTTTTCAAACCAACAAACGAGGATCTTGGTGTACTAAAATAGCAGAATGCCTGTTTGCATGCCATTTATCCCCCCTTGGCTGCAACCTGAAATAGTTTTGACACCTGAGAACAGGAGATCTCAGTTTGGATAAAGAACCAACATGACCTGAAGGTCTGACACTGTGTGACTAAAGAATCTCAGTCCTGATTGCAGTCCAACAGAGCAAGCCCAGATACCCAGTTCAACCAATCAGGGCATCGGTAATTGCCACACCAGCCCAGGTTAACCTGCAGTAAGGATTGTATAATTTAGTTGTAGAATCTTGTATAGTGGTACCTCAGAATTCAAACACTAAAAATTCGAACTTGGAATTCAAATGATGATTTTCAAGTAAATTACAAGTGGTAAATGCTTATGACATGAAGCACCATAAAGAATTCCTAATGTTTTCATGGGAGGTACTAACCTTCCAAATAATAATCTGCCTAAACCTCCTTTCCTCCTCCTACTTCTATGTGCAGCGTTTCCATTTTTTAAAATCAAGTTACAGTAAACACAATGTTTTATATCTTTTTTTACATTTATTAATGTTTTTATTCAAAGATTTTTTCATTTGTTATTATATTTACAGTGTACCATATTTAGGAAAATAAATTGTAAAATTAGAGCTTCTTGAATCTTGTAACAAAGTAATTTAGGTTCCCTTTTTTCAGTGGGAAACATTGCCTTGGAACTCAAACAATTTTGAATTCAGTTGCCATCTCGGAAAGGACTTTGTTCTAATTTCGAGCTACCATTGTAAATTAAATGTATTTTAATACTAGCTTTCACAAATAAAACAGCTAAACACTTAATTATGTCTAAATTATACTATGTCTTAAATCTAATTTTACTTATAAACCTTGAAAATACAGATTTTGAAAATTAATTTGAAGTTAAAAAAAAAATTAACAACATAGATTCATCTCCAAGCAAGGCATAAATTCTGTCAGTGCTCACCATGATTTCTAATGTTTTTTTTCTATGTAGCGACACCATCTAAGAAGTGAAAATGACAGCACTGTACAAATTTGCATACATGTGTTTCTAACACCACTTTCTCTTGCTGCAGTCAACATATTGGTGATACAGATTTTGTAAAACAATAATTTAAGAACTTACTTGGTTATTAGAAGAATGTATCATTCTGGTCAACTAGCTCATTCTACAATTTCATTTCAACTCTTCGAGTCCCAAAGAACGCATCATACGTTTATAGGTTCATACATAGAAGCCCAATGAACGCACAATGCACTGATTTTATGACTGTCTTTACTACCCCGTGGGCCTGTGATGCTAAACCCCCTGGGACTCAAAGAGCTAATGAAGCTATTAATTGCATGTTTAACGATGTATTTTTTATTTGTATATAAATAAGTAGTTTAAAGACAAAAATTTATTTCAACAAGATCAATTAGATTTGTATATTTGTATGTAAATTTGTCAAAAATTCATATTTGCAAATCGTTTACTAACAATATTTCTTAGGTCAAAAGGTTATCTGAAATAATTTATCGACAAAATAATCCCTACTGATTTCAATAATGGCACACATTATTCTCTACCATGTGACATGTTGATAAGCATGGATGCTTTCGGTTCGCCATCTTACATGATCTCCAGAGTTTTGGTTCAAGTCTGTGACCTTGTCTTGGTTATGTCATGTGGCCAAGCAGTCCAGATTTGGTCTCTTTGTCTCTACCGTGTGCCTTTCCATTAAGATGCATGGTAAACAAAGATATAAAAGTTAATCTGGTACAACTCAAGTTTTTGGGCCCAGAAACAGAGTGACTTCCCTTCCCATTCATGAATTGTCCTGTTGCAGGGCTATCCTATGTTGCGAGGGTGTCACGCTTGCTGACAGGCCGGCGATATGGTACCAAAACATGCAGAACTCAATCTAACCCTAACCCCCCTATGTCCCACAAAAGAGTGCAGCCTACATCCCCTGACTGCATTATAATATACGCTGCATACAATCGTGCAACCTAGGCTGCATGCAGTTGTGGGACGTAGGCTGCACTTTCCCATGGGATACGGGAAGGGGGGGGGGGGGATTAGGTTAGGGCCAGTTCTGCATGTTTTGTGATCGTTAAAAGCGTTCACATCATAGAATATACAACATATGATATCGCTTGCCAGTGACAAAAACTAGTAAAATACTCCGTGTTGAAAGGCGGTTACTAAGCGTGACACCTCTGCAACATAGTACATGCCCCATGACACTGCAATCTATGAAAGGGAAGGTAAGTCACTCTGAGCTAAAAAAAACGTGAGTTGTATCGCTAATCTGTTTAATACTGTTCAAAATTGGTAAATTGAGACATGATATAAAACAACATTACTTTTTGACTCTCTCTCCCAGACTAGCAACCTTGTCAACGGCTTGTTGAACTGTCAAACATACTTCTTGTATGGCATGGTATCTTTCAATAATGCTTTTCTTCTCTTCTTGCTGTTAAAAAAAAAATGCAAATATTTTGCTATTACAGACAAACATAACTTATTTTCATACATATAAATAATTTTATATGAGCATTTGCAAGTTGATCACAATTATCAATTTAAAAACATATATTACATGGAGTAATAATAAAATTGAGTTTTAATTTCCATGACAGTGAATATGATTTGTGTGTGTGTCCGTGCATGTGTGCATGTGTGATCAGGCCATATCTAGAGTTAAAATAGCCTCATATATGAATTAAATATTATGATGAAGAAGGATAGCAAAATACCTTATCTTTGTCACTATCTTCTTCCTCATCCTCATCAGTGACATAATCCTGAAAACAAACAAATACGTAAAGGACTATTAAAAAATATATTTATATATCAATAAACAAATGTCTTTTATAAAAGCAACAGGAATAAAAACCAAATATAATAATGGGCCTCAGTTTGCATAATGGAAGGACAGAAGTAATAGTGGTATCAAAGAGAAGAATCATTCCTTAATGTTTAATAAATGTCAAAGGTGTTATTTTGGGACAAGTACAGAAATTTAAGTATCTGGTCATATGGATAACATAAGATGGAAAATGCATTGCTGAGATAAGAAACCGAATAGGACAGGCAAAAACTGCATTTTATAAAATGAAGAACATCTTATGCAATATATCTCTGTCATTGAAGGCAAGAAAAAGAATTCTTGATTGCTACATACATCCAGTTTTAACATATGGCTGTGAATCCTGGACAATTGGTAGGCAGGCCAAACAATTTCTTGAGGCCTCAGAGATGTGGTTACACAGAAGAATGCTTAAAATACCTTGGACAGCCAAAAAAGAGTAATCAAGAGGTTTTCAAAGAGGCAGGAGCCCAATGACAACTTATCACAGACATCAGAAGGAGATAGTCATCATTGTTCGGGCATATAATGAGAAGAGGGTAAATGGAATATGTTGTGACCACTGGAAAGATCTGTGGAAGGAGAGATAGACGAAGACAGCAAGAGAAGATTTTTGACAGTCTTGTTGCATGGCATGGAGGTGTGTTTGCACACGAACAGATACACGCTGCAGGAGATAGCGGATCGTGAAGAGACATGATCACCCACGTGAGTCGGCAAGGTACCTAATGATGATAATAATAAAATAAAAAAAATAATTTGCAAAGGTGTCTGTGACAGTATATTATTTTTACATTGCCCTGCAGGGAAATGTAACCCTTGCTTTGTGAATCCCTGCTCTTCACATTATTCACATTTAGTAACTAAGAATACTGCTGCAAATATAAAAAATATTATCAGAAGTGTCTTTTAATTATAAAGTTACTTACATCTTCCACGGGTTCCTTCTTGTTACTGCTAGAAACTTGTGCCACTAACAGGTTCCTCATAAACACCAACAAGAGTGACAAGGGGAGCATGTACAGCTCAAAGTTCCACACAACAACTAAATATACCTGCAATTAATTTATATTATGGTTAGACTCCATAAAAAGATTGGCCCTATGACATGGAATATGATCAATTGTCAAACTTATTAAGAATAGAACAGACGTTTATGCAGGAACACGCACCTTGGCATGATACATGATGATGATTATAATGATATTCATTGAACAGATATGCTCTAAACATTACAAACATGTAACAATTTGAGATATTGTCTTTGCTTATTTTGTGTACCAGTTGTTAAGGTGGTGTAGGATGTTGAAGGAGAGTTCCTTCAGTGTTAGGATTTAGCACCACATGGGCTAGTGCAGTTATCATAAGCTGTGCAGGTTGAAATTTTATTTTTTGATCCCTGGCAGATAAATCCACCCCCTTCCCAAGGATTTGAAACTGGATCTCTTGAATGAGTCTAGATTTGTAATCAAGAAGCCAGCCACTCAACCATAGGTATTTTAAAATTGTACGACGGATCTAAAACTTCTGCTTGCTTCATACCCCACTGGTGGATCGTTATTTTCAATACTTCTGATTTAAATCATCACTGCATAATTTTTCATTTTGCTAAAATATGCGCAACCTCTTTCACTACTCACTGATGTAAGTTTGAACCTAGCCTACCAGTAGAGTTGAAAAGCAGATACTGTCAATGGGATATAAATTGATAGGAATTCAGATATATTTAGGTCCCAGAATGAAAGAACTAGTGTGTAAGGTAACAGGAATTCAGATATGTCTAGTTTACAAAATAAAAGAACTGGGGTGTAAGGTAATAAGAATTCATTTATGTCTAGGTTACAGAATAAAATAACTGGTGTGTAAGGTATTAGGAATTCATTTATGTCTAGGTTACAGAATAAAAGAAGTGCAGTGTCAGGTAATAGGTTAAAAACAAATGTTGGGAGATTTGAACCGGTGTCATTGCACATGGTTAAAAGGGGATAGGGATTCATATATGTCTAGGTCACATTATAAAATAAGTGGGATAGCTAATTCTGTTATGATACCTTCCATTCCTAAAAAATTCTTCAAATCAACAGGTACCAGTCTTGTGTGGTTGGGTTGATCTCAAATCTATCTGCTGTCTACTGTTTAGATCTAGGGGGAATAATGCAAATTTTCCTTATCCAAACTTGCTGTTAAGCCTACAGGTGGAGGGAATTCAAGATCATGTTTCAAAGCCAGGTGTGTTGCCTTGTTCATACATATCCATGTTTGCTTAATTATTGATGTACCCTTAAGTTTGCCTATCAACTTTTTTAATTGTTGCTATTTGATGCATGAGGCAATGTTGACCTCTTTAGTCTTTGTAATAATATTTTGTGGTAGTGAAGGGGAGATGGGAATCATATCCCATGGCTATGAAGAATCCTACTAGCAAGATTTGCTCTTGAAATGCATGATGCAACATCTGTCATATATATGGTGTCATCCAATCAGATCTTGACTAGTCAAGAAAAAAGAATCTTGCCACAGTCTGTAGCACACTGGGCCCAGGTTAATATTTTGATATACAAATACTACACACAATACTGAAGCAGTGTGTAAGAAAAAGGCTACAAAACAGTGGTGCTTTAACTTACAATAAATGCTGTAATAGATCGAGGCGGAGACTGCCAGTCAAAACAACTTTGGATGAATTTTCCTGTGTCTATAAACACACCAATCAAACGGGACAACCTGTTTATGTTTTCTTTCATAACCTGTGAATAAAAGAGAGCACCTCAAATTTTAATTGTTACAGTAATATAAGCTGTGATTAATCTTTGGATATCACATTGTTATCAAGCAAATGAAAAAAAAAATTAGGCACATTTGATTACTTACTGACTCTTTTTCAATGCTACTTTATCTATATTTATTAGTGGCTTATAATCTAAAGCCCAAGTGCATAAACAGTAGAAATATTAATGTTCCTTCACAATTCCTTTTCTCTAGAATCATTCACCAATATAACTGCCTAATATAACCATTCAGTGGTGCTAGATGGAAATATATCAACATTCTTGATATTTTATGATTATTTTATGTGCTTCCTCAACTCTTTAAGTCCCAAGGAACGCATAATACGTTAATAAATCTCTACATAGAAGCCCAAGGAATGCATGATGCGCCAATTTTATGTCTCTCTTTACTATCCCTTGAGTCCGTGATGCTAAACCCCCTGGGACTCAAAAGAGTTAATGTTAAACAATGAAAATAGTATTTCTGTAAGACATACTCTTAATTTGTTTTTTTTTGTGCATATAATTTCTAGCAAACATAATTTTGTAATTATACTTTGTTAAACTGTAAAAAGATATTTTTGTTAACAGTGTTTATTGCACCATCAATGAGATCCTTTATTTGGCACTGAGAATTATTGGATGTGGATTGTACTTATTACCTGATTCATCAAACCACAAACTAAAATTTAAACAAAAACGATTTGAGCAAATTATTTACAAATATGACATGCTAAAAATATAATAGAATTCAAGCCTTTTCAGTGACAAAATAAGCAAATAGCTACATTTCAGGAAACTCTTCTCCCAAGAAATATAGCCTGATTACTTTATATATTGTGACTCAATAGGTCAGAATTGTCCACTACATTTGTTTCTGATGAGACAGTTAACTAATTTCTGTTTGGGCATGTTATTATATTAAAAGCACTTTTAATTAATATATATAATTTTCACAGTATAATTTCTTTACACTACCAGATTCGCGTTAAAAATATATTTTGGTTTTTGTTTTTCAGATTAAAGAAATTAAGGTCATATTTGTAAAACACCACAAGTTATTAGTGTTTCATCAGTGATTCTGCCTTTTATCCAGGAATGTAAAACTTCAGTATTGTAGCGTTATTTGGAGAGCTCTGGTAACACAGTGGCTTTGCAAGTCTGCCTTTCAGGCCTGGTTGATTTAGGTGTACATCTGTGTGGAGCATACATTTTTTTAGACTGACCTGAACTTCAAAGTGAGTTCAGTATTAACACTGGTAGCATTAACTTTTCTTAGAAAGTAAAGTGTACTGATGGAATATTCATTGCATTATTCATCAAAAACCTGCTGAGCTAAAATGGGGGTAGCCCATAGATTCAAAGTCCCTGTGGCGTAGCGGCTAGACGCTCATGTGCGGATCGGAAAGTCGTGGGTTTGCTTCCTGGTGGAGCCCAACTTTTTTAAAATATGACCTTGACTCTAAGGTCAACCCAGCCTTGAGTGGGTACCAGGTGCAGTCCTGGGAAGTAAAGGCAGCCAGCGTAATGCTGACCACATCACCCATTTTGTGCGGATTTTGTCTATAAAAATATAAGTCTAGCCTATATGCCCTATATGCCTAAAGGTGTGGAAAAAATACCTTTACTATTTTTTTAACTATATATTCAATGTACTTCATGGCAGAAGAGAGGCGTATTAATTATAACTTATAACCTTTTTAATACTCATAAAAAGATAAAATATTTAAACATTACCGCAATTTTGAACTTTTCTTCAGGTACAATGAATTTGGGCTCTCTTGGATTCACTGTACGTATTGCTGCCTTTATCTGCAGAGGAATTAAGACATAAAAGCTCTCAATATGTGTAAGTAAATGTATCATTGTAAATTTTAAACTGAACAATAAAAAAATAAAAAATTCCACAGTAGACATAATTAAAGGAACAATATATTATATGAACAAAGAAGACACAAACAATAGACTGCACAATTTATTGCCTGGCATATTTCACTGTGTCGATTCTTAATTCAACATTAAACATTCTAGAACAGCAAAAATCTTTAAAATGAAATTTTTTTAAAAGGTTTTATTTATTCAACCTTTCACGTCCTAAAATGTTTTTTTTTTTTTTTTTTAGAAATGACCTTTTCCCAAATTTATAATTTAGAATTATAATTCTCTGAAACTTTACCTTAAAAAGAACTAAAGGAAGGAGGGAAAAAGAATCAGAGAAAATTTTATTTTCTTTCCCTGCATCACCAGTAGATGTACTTCAACTTTGAGGGATCATTCCAAATGATATTTCAAGCTTTTTTTTAAAAATGTAGATATTATAATACCCACCATATCCGTTGCAGCCAGTACCAAAGCTGTTATATAGGTGTACTGGCCATGCCCGAAGACATAATATAAGAAAATCCTGTAAATGTCAGAAAACTAGATTTTTAGGGATAACAGGGTTGAAAATAGAATTTTAAGCAGACAGCTTAACTCTTTCAGGCCCAAGCAACACTGTGTATGTTGATTGAAAAGTTCCCATTTGTCCAAACCACACAGTCAGTTTGATTGTGTGTCCCGCACATACTGATTCACACACTATCCAGTACTAGTTTTTAATGTTTAAAACAATCTTTAAAATATACAGAGAAGGTTACTCTAACATTTTTACTTTGTTTACAAGTCTTTGTTTGTACATTGAGGCACAAAATTATAGACATATTTGCGAGGCTCATTTTCAGATAGTGAGTTTTCAGATTTAGTCTTTGACTGACCATGTTCAAAGCCTAAGTACAGGCAGACGAAGCTCTGAAATTGTTTCAGTTAGATGGTTTTAATTCTGATCATCATGATGAAAACTTAAATTCGTCAGAAAGTGATTTAGGTGGTGAATTTACACAGACGACAGCTGAGCGATCAGCTGTCAGAGAATCTAGCAGTTCTTATGAGTCTGAGAGAATCTGCCATTGCTATCTAGAGCTTGTGGCTGAAAAACTAACCCAGAAACTAATCATCCTTTTGAATTTGTTAGAAAATTGGACAAACTTTAACATGTTATTCTCAAATCTGGATATTCACTGCTCTTGTGGCTACAAAACCATGGTAAACGAAGAATTATTTTGCAAAATTTTGTCCTGTTGAGAATTTTGTTCTTCATTAAACATTGTCATATCATTCAATTTCAAAATATACACTTGCCTGGTTAAAAAAAAAAAAATCTATATTTGCATAGTGATTAGAAATATATTACATTCTCTATTGCCTTTTGTTTTATATACCACCCACTCTGCCACTTTTTGTAAATGGAAATTAATGCGAGCCAAGACGTCCAAAATTCATGGCCTGAAAGAGTTAACAACAAAGCATAGATTGAACTTTCTTAACAGAAAAAGAAGCTGACTTACATGATTGAATGCGAGCCAAGACGTCTAAAATTCATGGCCTGAAAGAGTTTACAACAAAGCATAGATTGAACTTTCTTAACAGAAAAAGAAGCTGACTTACATGATTGAATGCGAGCCAAGACGTCTAAAATTCATGGCCTGAAAGAGTTTACAACAAAGCATAGATTGAACTTTCTTAACAGAAAAAGAAGCTGACTTACATGATTGAATTCAACATTCATCTCTAATAAAATTGCCCCTTTCGTTCTGTGTAACATTTTTTGATCTTTGAGTGCGTACCAGCGCCGTTCACCATTTCTGATCTGGGGAAAAAAAATTATGTAACGTTTCTTATTGAATACTACAGATTATATAGAAAATAGCAATGATAATATCTGTACAATTTTAAAATTATCAGCTTAAGTGTAAAATTCCAAAAAATAATCAGAATAGGATAAATTTATAGAAAATCTGGCAGTGTATGACATGTAATCAACCAATGTTGGTTTTGGTAAAGGATTATTGTCATTGCTGGAAGGGTGTTGTAGTCTCATACCATTGGTCACACAGGTACCATTATAGCACAATACATGAACTCTGTAGCACCAGATCTGTAACACCAGTGAGGTTCCACAATTGTGTATACCAGGATCACATTTATAAATATTGTTTTATGAGTTTTCTAATTTTCATATTTGCAATGGCAGGGTCTTGAGGCATGGCTTGCTCCTTGTGTGCTGGAGGTCCCAAGTTCAGGCCCAGGTGAAGGCTGGGATTTTTTCATGTGGACTTCAAGTAATTTCCCCTGGTCTCTGGGTAGTAAGATCAGATGTCCGTGTGTATTGTTGCGCACATAAAAAATCACTTGTCAGTTGGAAATTGAAATAAGTAGCCTAACGGGGCTGCCCAGGCAAAATTTAGAGTTAAAAATCTACCCAAAGTATTTCAGGATCCTTGTCAGTGCTACGGAGCTCGAGCACTGCGCTGAGATTCTTCAGACTCAGGCTTGAGTCAGAAGTAAAGCGGAGCACTTATGAGCTACTACCGTTGTGCCATGATATTGATCCATTGTATAAACCAAACCAAACCTAGCTTGCTTTTCTAAAATACTTTATAAATTTGGCAACTTGTGCAGGAGTCTGATGAAAAGATTTTCTTGTCTGAGAAGGCTGAACATCTCACCCACTACCCGAGACTGTGAGGTAGAATACCACCCTTTATTTTGTAGAAACCACACTTTACATGGGAGCAGTGGTAGTGGCTGGATGCTCACCTGCTGGCCCAAGGGTCTGACGTTTTCAAAATGTATCTAGTCAAAGTTTAAGAAAAAAAAATGACCTTGCTCCCAGGGCAACACAGTCTGACATGGCTACCAGATCTGAGTCTTGCATAATATGTTAGACATATCACTGGAATAACAAAAATCTTTTACTGTACTTTAAAAAAAAAAAAACAGTAACTCTTTAGTATCAGAAGATTTTGCAGGATTTTCCCCAAAATATCAATAGTTATAGTGAATATTTAAAAATGATAAGCTTGCTTTGTCATTGATGTAGCAATAGAAATACATAGTCTAGGAATTAAAATAGTTAGCTAGGCTTCTGTAATGTTATTTAGTTAGTCTTTCCTCTAGGGTCTAGGGTGGCCCATAGGGCAGAGGTCATAGCTCTCTATGTCTGGTGATTCGTTGCCAACTGCTTTAGGTCTTGAATGTTTGTTGGGCCCATTGTTGAGCCTTCGTTGATAATGGTTCTACGCAGAGTCTCTCCTGGTCCTTCCCGTTTTCTTTTCCCTTCCTGTGTTCATATGAGGACTTGATGGGGAAGTCTTGTCTTATCCATTCTAAATGCATGGCCGATGTAGTTCCAGCGGAACTTTCTTATAAAATTGGTCTCCTGTCTTTTTTACATATTGGATCTGAAATCTGAAAAGTGAAAATTTATTATTTTTCTATGACATTTGTTCTCAAAATTGTCTAATTTTTTGTCTAGAGCCACTCTGCACGGAGCATACCAGGGTCCACCTTTCTCAATATTCTCTGTAAGTCAGCAGTTACAATCATGACAAGTCAGGCAAGCTGGTTCTCAAAACCCCTTCCACCTTCATTGTCAAACTAAATGTTGTCATATTAGCAAAGTCGAAATAATGAGTAATACAGCTAATGTTTGTAATATAAGAGTTTTTGAATATCTGTACTGTCATTGAATGACATAATAAATACACAGGGAGTTGTATGTTATGGTATGATGTGTTATCACTATTGATGTTCCTGTGAACTCGGCATTACCATGTATATTAATTGCATAGTACCATGAATCAAGACCCCCCTCGACCCCTTCTTCCCTTCAGTTACCAAAAAAAATGTATGCACATATGCACAGATAAGAGGAAACAACAAACCTTTAACAACGGTACTGAGATCTTCCCTAAGAATTCAACTTTCTTATTTCGATCTTCATCATATACAGTAACCTCCAACACAGAATGGATATCTTTCACTTGGCTGAAAGTATATATGAAACAAATCAAATAACTTTTATAGAAAATCAATACGTCATGTGTGAAACAGAAGTGCTAATTTTATGATTGGAAATTACTAGTTAACATGTCGTTTTCAAATGTATTTCTGTGTAGAAAAAAGTGGTGAACATTACAAAAGACCCATCCACACTGGACTACAGGCTAATTCATAACTATTTTGAGGTGCCCAAATATAACTGTACTATCATGGTTTAAGAGGTGTTCCATAGTGTTTAATATGGAGGAAAAAAAAAATGGAAACATACAGAACAACATTTGCTTTTTGCTCCACTTCACAGACTGTGTCATTCAGTTCATGATCTAGATGGGAATAATCATTGAAACTACAGAGTTTTTGCTTTGTGTAACACTCTTAGCAGGCAGCTAGCCATTTTGCAGGGAGAGATTGATCCATACAAGATAAAACCAATGGTGCACCGATGCTGCAATGAAAATAATCCTCTCAATATTAAACTGTTTGAAAAAGAAAGTTGAAAAAAAAAGTTTGTTGCGTATCCTTTATAGGACTTTGTAGAACCAATCCCAGCATTTTTAGCTGTTGTGGTTTTTCTAAGCATATTTTACGTTCAGTAGTTTGCCACTGCTTTCCAAATGGTCAGCTCTTGATATCACTGTCAAAACCAATCATAGACAAATCGTCAATAGCTAGGATCGAACCTGGCATCCCGGCATTACAAAGCACATTCACAATACCTAAGTCACAGACGGCGACGAAAAAAAAATGTTACAGTTGTTAAATATTTCTTTGATATAATGCCTTAGTTTATAATATGACTTACAATGTAAAAACCTTGCACCATTCTGGATTCAGCGTTTTATATTCTGTGTGTGTTTGTACTCTGTCATTAATCAACTCCAAAACACAAAAGGGATCACTGAAGCCACCAAAATCTGCTGCATGCAATCCATGAGCTCTAAACACTGAAATGAAATAAAATTATATTTAGTAAATAAGAGAGGCGAGGACTGAAAAGAAATCTACCAAGATTCAATGGGGAAAAAAAGGGAGGAACAGATTTTATGCAGATCTGCATTTTCTACTTTGTAACATTAATCTCTGTCAAACTGTTTGTTCTATATTTGCATTATTCTTCAGTATTTATACATTATTGAAAAAACATTTTTTTTTAATGTCTATTTTATGTTTTTCTTATGTTTTGTTTTTAATTATACAAATGGAGTAGAGGCCCTGAATCAACTCAAACCAATTTATCTTATCATTTAAAATCTTCAGCAAATCCTTCCATCTTTAATTATCTTCTGTTTAGTTATTTTATCACAAATTTACTCAATACGCACATTTTATATACAGACCAGAAAGTCTGATATATTAGTCTGTATGGTTTGTTCTCTTTACAGAGTAAGCCAGATTTTATTATTTACAAGGGACCATGCCTTTATACATGTGTATTAATAACAGAACTCCTAAAATGTTGACCATATACATCTTTACTCTTTGAGCACTGGCTACTGTTTACATGATATGTATCTCTGAACAATGTATCCACCAGGCTAATGACACAGTGCTACCAAGATTGTCTAATTATTTATAGTTTATGTTTAGTTGCGTATCCTTTACAGGAACTTGCAGAACCAACCCCAGCAGCCCCTGGCTGTTGTGTGGTTTCTCTAGGCAAATTTACGTCCAGTAGTTTGAATTATTCATAGTACAATGTCTAACTATTCATAGTATAATTTCTATCACAATCACAACCCAAATCAAAGCAAAATGTGAAATCATACAAACTGCATTTTGATCATATAGGTAATGTCATGGTGTATAAATTTAAAATGTGAAATATATACTCTGAGAACGCCAAAAACACTATATATACCAACTATAACCCTGAAGGTTGAACAGGATATTTTTTAAAAAACTACTACTGCTGCTGCTGCTATCAACTTGTATTCCTTAAACTGCCAGTACATATATGTATTGCATCTTATTTTTTTTACTTAACTCATTCTGCCGTAGTGTCATTTTTTGAGCACATAGTCAAAAATGTCTTATTTCATTAACACATCTGTGGAATATAATGAGTTAACATAATGGCTACCTGGAATTGAAACCGGTAATAGAAAAATTATAATTGCACTAAACACTGAGAGTGAAATAGATTCCTTGATTTAGACTTTCTCTATCTTTGACCACCACAACACAACACTTACAACATGACATCAGTTAAACTTAAGGAAGTAATTATATTCTGACCATTCAAAGTTAACTGTAAATTGTATGTAAAATAAAAGACCCCTATTCACATAATGGAGCCTACTAGGTATATGTTACCCATATATTTATGCCAGTCAGTATCAATGGATGATGATATCATGACCACCCACGCTGATTCCCAAATAATTTTCTGGTACCCATTTTAGACTGGGTTGACTTTGTTTAGAGTCTGGGTCAGTGAGTAAAAACCTTGTCTTGAATAGGATTTTAATGCATAACCAATGACAGGCAAGCATTCACAGCTCCTAATAAAAACTGTACTTTACTTAATATTCTAAGATGATGTATGAAATAAATAAAATCAAATGAACTGTTACGTTTACCTTTAACTTCAAGACGTCCAATGTCATCGAGGGAGGTAAATGATTTTAAAAGACTCTAGAAGAGATTTATAAAAGGAAAACAGTAAAGATTGTTAAATAAATAATGAGACATACAATTTTAATAAAACAAAATGCACATGTATAAATTATTGCAAATTAAAAACAATTGGAAAATGACTTTAAAAAAAAACAACAACAATAACATAATAGAAAGAATCCTTTACCTGGCGACACAGAAGGTAAAAAAAAAAAAAAAAAGCAAACCGATCTTAGAAAAAATATCGCTTAAACAATTCCATATGCAAGTTACTATATTCCACAAGTTTCATGTAAATTCACTGAAACTTACTGAAATGTACAACCTGACAACACTGAGTGATGTTCAACCCCACTGTTCAACCCATGTTCAGCTTGCACAACAATGAGCGATTAATACCTGGTGGCACAAAGGACCACCATTCGGATGAGAATCTCCCAGGCACATGTCCCAGAAACATGATGTTTAAAGTTCAATGTAGTATAAAATAGCGATCAAACATAACATTATTTCAACCATTACTAATCAAAAGATTATCGCATCAACTAAATACTACAAACGTCAAAAGAAAGTACTTTCCTCAATATAAACTAAAAAAAGAGTTAATTCTAAACCAGAATTGTTTCATAAGAAAGTGTTATTTCTCAGCCATAAACTTTAAAGGGAAGATGCTTTCCCTTGAGTGTTGAGCTAAGAAGTGACATCAATGCACTTGGGACATTCCCATAAGCACTTTGTTCTCATCTTCAGCACCCAGTGCAGAGTTCAAAATTTTGTGGTGCTAGTAGCAGTTCGATTATATGTCTATCTTGCCTTTCCTCTGAGTGTAGAGTGTCAGCTAGATTTCTTGACCACTCCCAGCTCTACCATTCGCTCCAGATCATAATGATCGATTCATCTCTCTGCAGTTTTCATTTGCTTTCAAGGGCCTTGACCATGTTTGGCTTGTCTTGCATAAATTCCCCACCCACTGATGCAGAACCAGCCAATCTGTCTGCCTGTTTATTTACTAACATTCATACATAACCCGGAGAAAATATTTAAAGCCCACTAACCAACAGGAACCTCTGAAGAGATACTTCAATACACTTTACACAGAAGAAACAACTATAATTGATTGGGACTACTGTTCTTTGACAACATACTTGAAAAAAAAAAAGTACCACAGCTGAGGGATGTTTAGCTAACATTAACATATGTATGACTGTATTTACATATTTGCTGATGATGCTGTCCTTGACTGGTGCCCTTTGTATGTAGTTGGTCAGGTCAGAGGTCAACTCGTTGCCCATGGTTCCGGTGATAGTCAGCAAGAATTTGATAGTGCCAGCACCATCCTCTAGTTGCTGCTCAATGACGTGTGTCATCTCCTTCTCCAGTGTTGACAAATCTATAATAGCTCTGTCATGTAACATATGAACAGCTGTTATCCTAATATAAAACAATGTATTTCTTTCAATAACATTACTCAGGTATTTTATAATTTTCAAGTAATTTTAAAATTATCAGCAACACCACCACCATTGTTATTACCATCATAACTACCACCATTATCACAACCATCATTTTGGATCTTCAAATGTACTGTACTGAAAAGAATTCTTCTTCTTCGCATTCAGTTTCATATGCTCAGATCAGACCATGAGGTGGGTTACCTCTGTGAACTCGCATGTCTGCTGCAGGTCCTTCATGGTTCTCCATAGCTTGCTCTGCACAACTTTGCTCTTGAGGCCAGTTTTCTTTTCAAAGTTGTAGATAGAGTGGACAGGTCTGCAGAATGTGTTCAGGTGTTTGTAGTCCTGTCTGACAGGCACACTGTGGCAACTGTACTGTCTTTATTTTATGCATGTTGTAGCTGAGCCTGCAGTGTCCTGTTCATAGACAGAAAATTGTTGTATGTTGATGTCTGTTGAGTCTGCTGATGGGGTCTTGTAGATGTTAACTATTGCTTTGTTCTCTCCCCAATTCTTTGTATTTTCCCTTGATAAGTGTTTTGATTTCTGGTAGTGACAACGAATGGGTTTCTTGTTTCTCCTCTGTTCATTTTTTTTTTTTGCAAGTCTGCTGCTAAATCATTTCCTGTTATGTCGTAGTGAGCCAGAATCCACTGAGGGGTCTTTGCATACAGTACTAGGTCACATTATTCAGTCTTTCTGTCTATGCCTGGGATTGTTGTTGTAACTGTAAAGTTAGGTTGTAGGTCTATGTTGCAGGCCTGAATCATTTCTCATGTTGAAGTCTTTAAAAAGGATGTCATTGTTTTTTGTGCAGAACAGTTTTGATAGATTGTGAAAGCTTCATCTTTTCAGTCAGTTTTTGGTCAAGTTGTTTGCTATTCTGTGCCTGGGGTTGTTCTTTGTGTGTTACAGTTTGTCTGTTATGGTAAGCACATTTCCTTCCCTTTGATCATATGTATCCTGTGTATACTGTGTTGGCATCTGCACTCCAACTTGTTCCAGTAAGTTTCTTCGTAAGCCTGAGCAGCATGATAGCTTTCCTCTAAAGGTCTTCAATGTGGAGGCCCACGTTAATCTTCTGTTGAATTTTACTCACAAATATGTGGGGTTGTCCTCTTTTTGAAGGATGTTGCCTTCTAGGTAAAGATCAACTTTTTCTAGCTTTGTGGAAATAGAGAAGAGAGTCGAGACAGTTTTGGTCTGTTTTATTGTGACTCCCCAAGAGTCTGCCCATTTCTTAACTGTATTTATAGCTTTCTGCATTCTTGTTTTAGTTGGCCCTATATTTTCAGTTTGGGTTTATATGGCATCTGCATGTAAGGCCTTGTGAATGTGAGCCATGAACTGTTTGGTGAGGTCACTTATGAAGAGGATAAACAGGGTAGGAGATTTAACAGCTCCCTGAGGGACACCTTCTTGTAATCTGACCAGCTTCTAAAAAGATTTCAAACCAAACGAAGAGCGGAACTAGTTAGCTTCACATTATAAGAATTACAAATGATAAGTGAATGCTGCAGATAGCATGCCTTCATCATCACATGAAAAAAATAAACAGTGTTACATTTACGAACAAGAAAACACAAAAATCACTCAACTGAGACAACTCTAAAAAGTTTAACATGTCTGTCTGGCTAGTTGAAACTCTGAGGCATATGTGAATATGGGAAATCATTATTCGCCAGAAAAAGGTGTGGGAGGCAATGGCCATAATTCGAGAACATTAGATAAAGCTGTGTTGCGTGTTAAGTCCCTTCGGCAAATTGGGCCCCATTAGGTAGATAAGGTGCTTCTCAAGAGACTTAAGCACTCTGTCAGTGGAGTGGTTAGACTTGATGGCCATAACCTCCATGTCAAAGAGACCTTGGTGGTTTTGACAAATGAAATAAGTCAGCAATGATGTTTGAGTGAACAGTCGGGCACATTAGAAAGATGTTGCCTGAACCTATCAGCTAGTCAGATATACCAGATCTGTGTGTAATTAGGTGGGATTGTCAAATTAAAAAAAAAATTATTCAATAAGTAATGTTTAGGGTCTATTTGACTTCTGCATTTATAATCTGACACTCACCTGCCCATGAAATCATCCTTTCCTCTTGCGTCATAATCATACACCTCAATCTCTAACTGTGACGTCTGATCTTCATAAAAGTGAAGGTCAAACTGCTCCAGCCAACGGGGATGAAGTGTTTTAGTTTTGGACTGTCATGAAAAAAAAAAATTCAATTAAAACAATTTACAGCAGTACCTCTGTATACATATTTAATCTGCTCTTGATCCTTGAAAGTATACCAAAGTCAACATTTACCAAGTATCAATGTATTAACTTAATCTTTTCTTTCATCCTTGTGATGAAAATAGTAATATCTTTAGTTGTGTCAATTTTACATAACAGAAAGCATATTAGAAACAGTCAAACTCACTTTATCACACAGCTTGTGGTCATTTAGAGAGAGAAGACTTTATACTTTTCTTTATTGCATACTAAGTTTTGTATTTTATCTACTATTCTGTAGTGCAAGTGAATACAAATTATTGTTTTAAGCTTCAGTAATGATTTCAGAGTTTATATTAACAACCAACTGTCTGAAAGAAGTTAATAAAAGCATAATATTATAAAACATTTTAAGAGAGAGACCTGAGTACATCAGAACATCTAGAAAGAACAGCTGTAGAAGATTCAGACCAAGTGAAATGACAATAGATGGTTTAAGGTGGAGGAGGCATGTAGACAAATCATCAATAACACTGATTTTTCCAAGAACCAAAACCTGTGGAGACAAATTTGGCAAGACATGTAATGATGATAAAGGAGCATACTTAGATATCAATTTGTAAAGAAACAAAACAAAAACAGAGCTGCATTAGTAAACCGGAGGATGTACAATTTTTTATGTCAATTAAATTTATCAGCATAACAGATTCATTATTTTGCTGCCTGAGGAAAGATTTGGATTCATATTTTGCACAACAGAGAAAAAATGTATCTCACAAAACAACAAGTTCGGAAAACTGACACACTGAGGTTATCATAGAACTGTCACATCCATCCATTCATTTATGAAAAACAAAACATAAAATTGACCATATTCAACCTACTGTGAGCAGTATCGGTTATAACTGAGATCTGGTTTCTTTGTGCCAGTTATGTTGGCTAAGAAATTTTAATTGCACCAAAACTAGTGGCTTGGACTGGTCCTCTAGTACCTAGTGAGGGTTGTTCGGGAGGGGGCTGAGCCACGTGGGAATGCATATACGTTTGCACACACACACATGTACATATACACACATGTGTGCACACCATCGTAGGAATGCATGTATACGTGTTTGCAAAAACACACGTTTATGTGGGAGCCACCGTGGTGTAGTGGCAAGTTGCTCCCCTGTGTATCGGAAGGACGTTGGTTCAGATCCCAACGGAGTCAGACTTTTTTTTTTTTTTTAAATAAATGTCCCTAGCTCTCAGGTTGACCCAGTCCCAAGTGGGTACTAGTGCTTTTTCATAGTTTCATGTGGCAATGAATACTACTCAGAAAGTACAACATATATTTGTGAAATGAAGAAACATAATATGTATAGTATTAATGCGAGCTGCAGTAGCACCGTGGCTAGAGGCTTGCCTGCCAACCCATAGGTATTGGGTTCAAATTCACACTGAGGCAGATTTAAAAAAGAAAAAAAGAATAACTGACCTTGGCTCCAAGGTTGACACAACTTAAAATTAGTACCAAGTAAATTCCTAAGAAGTAAAGATGGCTGGTGGATGTTGACCACATCATTCACCAACTGGCAAGTCTAACATCACATACCCAATGTGGCACTAGTGTCAAAAAAGACTTCACTTACTTTACTATAGTATTATTATTAACATCAAAGAAGTTAGAAAAGTTAATGGCATAAATGAAATTCAAAAGACATATTTGGAGTCTGCTGAAGAACTGCCACAAGACGATTGTGTTAATAACGAGCATGAACTACAGCAAATAAGGCAAAAATAAAACAAATTCAGACAAATAAAACAAGATTCTCACTTTACTTCTGTACTTTTCCATTCCCAGTTTGAACTTAACGTATGGATCACTGAACCCATTGTCATCCATGGATACAAGATTCAACCCTTCCACGAGGACAATATTGACTACCCCACTCCATAATTGCATCTTGACCTTTTTGGAGTCTGTGGAACGGACTGATCTCTGGAAAAACTGTGAAAGTAATGAAAACTCAAATAGAATTTTTAAAAGGCAAGGAGTAATATATAACAAATTTTTAGGAAACAAATACACTGAAAACAAACTGGGCATTGGATCAAGAGAAATCATACACACTGAGAAAAAAAAAATTGAAATTGTTGGGCTGAAGTCTTTATCATCACCATGTAAATTACCCATATTGGGGTTGGTGACCAAGATTTCTATTTTTCTTGTTGTGCTACCCAGTGATAAAGGTTTTGTTTTGGCCAAAACAGTTGACTGTTTCTGTCTGTGTTTTCTCTTCCGTCACACTTACACGAATATAAAGCAACAGACTTATACTCTGATAACTTGTTGAACACATTATACCCCATTTATAACTAAATAAATAATAAAACACTGAACACGAAAGAAAAAACACCATAGTGTGGCGTGTGTATTATAACAGTGTCAAAACATTATAGACAACAATTAATTCTTTGCAAAATTACTACTTTTATAAAAACGTAGGGGGGGGGGGGGGGGGGGGGGGTGGAAGGGGGAGGGGTGGGGTCAATTTTCACTGTAGAGTAATTCAACGCACCTAAAATTTATCATTATAAAAAATCAGTGTTGACTAATTCAAAACAACATGGCACATAAGATGAGCACTAATTCAACACATCAGCACAGACACGGTGTATTACTACTGCACGTAAATGTCACTCAGTCCGGACAGCCAAAGGTGTAGAGTGATGGTCGGAGCTCACTAGGGCGTGGTTCTGATACCCTTAATATGTAACAGGGCGTGTCCTGCCTCACAGAATAACAGCATGAGTGAACAGTGGCATAGCAAAGGTCTGGTGGTAGCAGGAGCGGACAACTGCCGCCCTCCCCTCACTTTGTGTGTGTGTGTGTATATATATATATATATATATATGTATATCCGTAAATAGGACCACATTCTCTTCAGAAGTATTAGATAATTTCAATCATTGTCGTCCCCATGTGGGACACAATTTTTCGTTGTTTTGAAGCCTCACCGCGACTTTTGCCGAGGGCCGCAATACAGCGGCCTATCGGTTAAACACTGGTGATCCTCATCTGCATGGTGGCACTTTGTGTCACCGGGTGTTTATTGCTCTGTGTGATGTCCTACTGGGGTAACATTTACTCACTCACTTATTTCAGAAGTATTTGTTTTATGCATTTAACGTAATATTATGTCATGAATTTTTTTTTAGATTCACAACATCAATATAATTAGTATAACAATTTACTTAACATAGTGAGAAATTTTAGGAACAAGAACTTTTGAAGATAATTAACTACTACAAATAGTCCAAGGAGGTGTCTTAGTCTGGCACCTTTGGGCGTAGAGATAGAGAGAGAGAGAGAGAGAGAGAGAGAGAGAGAGAGAGAGAGAGAGAGAGAGAGAGAGATCCCCACGCGCACACACACTTTTTTCTTGGTATCGATGTGCTGTCAACGTTAACAACTACCATATTGAATAAAATCCCGCCCTATTCTACTTAATCACACAACATTTAAGTTCGTTAATCAATTCACAACAAAAAAGCACTATTTAATTCATTACTTTTATCACAAACTTAGCAACAGCTACTTTTATAAACACATACAGAAATCAACCATGAATACTTTATCATTTGAACAACCATACATAGGTTTATGACTAAAACACAGAGAAGCACTAAACCCATTCTCACAGAATCATGAAATCAGTACAAAATGTGCATTCTCCCTAAACAAAACTCAGCACAAAGAGCATATTGTTGCTGAATCAGTAACGCACGTTGCAATCTGCGGCACAGAGAACTGAAATTCCACACGGTTACTTCTGCCCTACATAGGAAGCGAGCACTTTTGCAGAATATTTTTTTTTCTTTAAGTTAAAACTACTGAAGGCTAGGATAGAACGTGATAAATTTACATTTACAAGAAATCTAGCAGACACTTTTCGGTGACACAGATCAATGTATTCTTATAAAATTGGCACATTCTAACTACAGTGGTACTTAGTAAATAATTATGTCTACAGATAATCTGTAAGGACAATTTTTTTGCTAACTTTAAAACAGCGGTTCTCAACCTGTGGGTCGTGAACCTTTTGTGGGTCGAACGATCCTTTCACAGGGGTCGCCAAAGACCATCGGAAAACAAATTCACTGAAGTTAGGAAGTTAGTTAGTCTTTCCTCTTGTGTCGAGTGCGGCAAATAGGTCAGAGGTCATGACTCTCTACATGCATGGCGGTTCGTTGCAATCTGTTGTAGGTCTTGGATGTTTGAGTGGCCCATGAGTGAGCCTTCCCTGATGATAGTTCTTCGTAGGGTTTCCCTTGGTCTTCCACGAGATATTTCCCCCTGTGGTGTCCAAATGAGGGCTTGGTAAGGAAGTCTTGATTTATCCATTCTAAGGGCGTGGCCGACATAGTTCCAGTGGCGTTTTCGTATAAAATTAGACACATACCCTTGCCTGGATTCTTGCCTTATTTGTGTATTGGTTCGGAGTTATGAAGTAGCAACGAAAATAATTGTATGGTTGGGGGTCGCCACAAAACGAGGAACTGTATTCAAGGGTCAAGACATTAGGAAGGTTGAGAATCACTGTTTTAAAGGTTGTATTATTGAATCACCGGTATATACATAGACAGGGCGCGCAGCCTCGAAGTGGGGTGGGGGGGGGGTGGAAGGTGGGGGCGCTCAACCCTGCCTACATAGGACCAACCACTTTACTGTAAAATACTTACCAGTTAAATTAGTTAGACTTTAACAAAGACCATGCGGCGTCCGTGGCTTAGGCGTTGCGAGTCCGACTCGTAATTCCAACGTACTGCGATCGAAACCCACTGCTGGCTGCGTGGAATTTTATCCTGGGATGGGGAGTCGCAGTTCGACCCAGTCTAAAATGGGTACCAGTCATGAGGAAGTAAAGACGGCCGGTGTAATGCTGACCACATTACCCACCTAGTGCCGATTGGTCTGTAAAAATATGGGTGCTCTTCCCATTTGCCAGTTGCGCCTGAAGGAGTGAAAGTAAATCTTTACTTCACTTAGCGTAGTCCCATATTCTCCCATTGTCACAAGCACTTATCTTATAAACCGCATCAATATTCTGTTGGCTCAAATCAAAGGTTTTCGCTACTGCGCATGTTTCACACCAGTGGTGAGGCGTGTGTGTAAGTTCTGTAATCGCAGCTTACTTTCCATTGCGAAAAATAATATTTTACGATTTATTACAACAGTTTTTTTCTTTTACAAATACACCCTCTCGGTTTACATTTCGAACATAACGAAAAAGAAGGCTCGCTACATGCTTACGCCACTCTTGCAGAAATTAACGGGTGACAACTATCAGTTACGGTAGTACTACAATGCTATCAGTGCACGCATATTCTCAACAGCAAAGCAACAAGGAGGGAAATATAACACAATACCCCCAGTGTAATCGTTATCTGATAGCGCTTACACGCGAGAAGTGATCACGCGTTGCCACTGTTTTATAATTAAAACAACTCATGAGCCTTATCTTGGCAAAGTTTAGATAAAATCCAAAGAGCGATGCAGTAAAGAATAAACGTAGTCCATCAAATGCATATCCTACTGCGTTTAAAGAAGAAAGAAAATGTCCTAACAGTTTCATTATCCCTAAATATTATAGTAATTTACTCGATGCTACACTGTAGGAATATTATGTCCTTTTCAGACTTCTATTAAACACTATATCCACACAAGGGTTAGATTTATGCGATTAGCATTAGCCATATGGGGAAAAGAAAGAATGAGGCAATCTGTGACGTATGGATTGAAAATAATCAATCCTGCGTTTGACCAGGTATCAACAGGGTGATGGTGTCTGAAAGTTTGAAATGATTAATTCTCACAAAACGATTGAATAATCAATAACGAAAAAAAAAAAAATTATAACCTTCAGGCTGTTTTCAAGCCATAACGATTCCGTGCTTTTCGCCAAAACCGTCAGTAATTCACAATTTGGCCGTAACATGCCCGTAGGGAATTGAACGACTATGTTTCATTATCTAATAAACTAACAACACAGGCCAATGCAAATTGACGCCATATTTTTTTTAACGTTTTCCTTTTTTTTAAAAAGAGAAATTTTGTATCAAAATTCAAATCTGGCAGAAATAACGACCCGGGATCTCAATCATTTCAATTCTATAGTTCGTTCAACAATAGATAAACACATCTGCAAGCCATTTTCTCGAAAACTGCCTGTTAGATAGCAATAAGTTTTTGCATGCAGCCTTAGAAAATCCATGACGCAAAAAAAAAAAAGTGGTACTCTTTAGTCCATAGATGCTCAGGATGCTAAATATCAGCTAATATCTTTTCGAACCACTAAATAAATAAAGTGAACTTTGAGATTTTACAGTACACATCTGCATTTCCGGTACTATTTCTTTCTTCAGAGGCTGTGTCTTCATAATACACAGATAGGTGAAGTAAATTTATTTGTTGTTATTCACGTTCAACTGAGCTGAGTCAAGAAAGACATCACAGCACTCGGGGCATTCACATATGCGCTCCGTCCCCATCTTCAGCAGCCAGCGCAGAGCTGCAACACTAATGGTATCAGACGCAGTCTGATTATACCTCCATCTTGCCTTTTCTCTGAGTGTAGTGTACCGGCCAGTCCCTCAGGTCATACCCAAGTGTATCATTCTCTCCAGGCTATGATAATCTATTTTCTCTTCTGACTTCCTTACTTGTTCCCAACGGGTCTTGATATGTATCAATTCATCTCACAGTGATGCAGATTCAGTCAATCTGTCTGCTTTGTTAAATTGTAAACATGCCCCAATATACAACAGTTAGTATTCCCCTTCGGTCACCATGAGACTCCTGGGTCTATCTTAACCACACCACAAATATAACTGGAGACTGTTAGCAGCAGGCTGAACATGGTCAAGCTTTTTTTTAAAAATCGGACCAGGAAAATAGTCTCTTGGCTGTTTGCTCTTCGGTCTCTCCAGTCGTCCTAGGGACAGGTCATCCCACCCATCAGCGGTGGCCCCCTACAGGGTCTTAGCGCAAGGTGGGTCCAAGGGACTGAGTGGAGAGAGATGGACTGGCTCAATGGTTTCATGTTAGTGGTAATTTCAGGAGTTATACTGTGTTAGTTCTAAACATTTATGTCCATCCTCGCTCAGAGATGTTTGATTGCAGGTCGCTGGAAGGGAACTCTTACTTTTGTTAGCCGGAGTGATTAGCACATGGTCTGTTCAAACATGTTGTTGATTGTTAATGTATTGTTATTACATTAGTTTTGTGTTCAAGAAAATAAACAGATGTTGAATGTGATGGTTATATTCTTTTGTTTGATTCGGAATAGATCTTCTACTCAATGTGCCTGGTTTTACTGACACTGCTAATTAGACCTCTATGGATCATGTCCTGTCAGGGCTTGTACACTATAGGTCTGAGTCCTTGTCTACCAAACTTTCTCTTTCTTGTTACTAAAGCAGCTTGGGTGTGGGTTTTGGCTTCCACTCACCACAACATTCTTTGTTGGAGCTCGTGTTGGCTTGGAGTAGAGATAGGTTCAAAGAGTAGATGTATCTGATCCTTCATTGCTCTCTCCCTTCCCTTCAGAAACATTCTCCTTTGGCTTTGCTTGTAGTATGTATAAACCAAACAATCAACCACCAACCAACCACTTAACCAATCAGGCAATCATTTAATCATAATTTCTTTGAATGTTAGTAGCGAAATCATAACAGAAATTAATGATTAATCAAACATAAGTCGTCAAGGAGTTGGAAAATAAACATTTCCCACAAATAAGAGGGAAAATGGCAAGAAGAACATGAGACTGAGGAAGTTCATTATCAAAGACAAACTACAGATGCCAAAAGTTATGGACATAAGTGCATGATAATATAACATTATAATAAAACAACAGTAATGCACAAAATAACAGTAACACATGAAGATCATGGAGGCTGTGGCAGGTGAATGGCTTACACTAGCTGCTGGCCTGGTAGTCATAAGTTTGAATTTAAATTGGGATGGATTTGTAAAACTGACCTGAGCTCAACAGTCCAAATGTGGGTATTTCTTGGTATTCACTGGCAATAAACTGTCAGAAAGTTCTGGTTGTTAGTCTACTTCTGAACTAAAGTCTTGTTCCAGAATTTGAGTGTTATGTTTACATTTGGTTTAAAGATCTGGCTTATTTGTAAGCGGACTGTTAGTTGCTTGTCTCACAGGCAGATGCACTCTAATTTTAAAGGAAACCCCTAAACAGCTGACTCTTACAATATGCTTGTTAGGGCTGTGAGGGTCTATTATTGTTTCCCCCATCTGGGGTCCTAAAATCCACACAGGGAAATGTGGATATAGGAAAGGGTTCTTAAAAGCAAAGGCAGACAACAGAGCATTTACCATATATAGCGCTAAAGGCTCTACAAAATATGGGGCTAGCATCATATACCAGCTCAAGGGATGGTTCTAGGAAGGGAACTTCATTTTTCATACAGTCTTAAACACTTATGTACTTATACACTGTGAACCATGTATCTATCAGTAATGAAAGAAAGCAGGGATGAAGCAACACTAGGCAAGCAACTAACATATATATGGCTAGCTAGTTATATCTACTCAGAGATAAAGCAAACACTATAATTAGTCTCAAAAGCTTACTAAATTAACTTATTGTTTTGTTTGTTAATGCAAATTGTACAAAATAATGAGTAAATATCCTTTCTAACAGAATTATTAATTTGATTAGATTGTATAGGTAACAAAATAACAAAAATGATTTTCATCAAAGGCTTTAAAACACAGTTCAAAACTGTTAAGGAGTAGCTGGCCGAAGTGTTAAAAAGGCTGGACTGTCATTGCAAATTGCCAAGTTCAATCCTCAATAAAGCTATGGGTTTTTTTCCTTGGGCGCAAAAAAATAATTATAACCTGCAAGGTCTGTAGCGACTGCACTAGCCATGCGGCCCTAATTCACCAGGGTTAAAGACCACCGTTTACTCTACAAAAAAAAAAAAAACAACCCAGTAAATGCAGCATGTAATGTAGTTTTCCCCTTCCAAACTGTTTAAAATGTACTGAAAATTGTACTGAGCTGAAGAACAGAAGTGAACTAATACCACACTGATGACTTAACTTTTTAAACAGGCATTGGTCCAGTTTAGAAACAAAACAGGGGCTACAAACAATACATGCTTTGTTGAGGAAATACTATGTTAAGGTTAGAATGCTAGCTAAGAGAAAACTACAGCTATACAGCTATACAAATAGTTTTCCAAGAAAACAGTGCTCACCGAAGCTCTCTTACATCTATCCTGGAATATATATGTGAAATTGACATAGATACACACTTCCAAAAATGTGCCTAACTAGAACTATGTAGTGTTCCAATATATGAGCATTCAACAACAACAACAAAATCAGTTGATATGCACAACAGTTACCAAAGGCAGGCAAAGCAGTTTCACTAGTGACACACATAAACACACACTTACTGTTACAGCACATACACATAAACACACTCTCACAATGAAACTCAACCACCCTTGTAAAAGTACATAAGCACATAATATAATTTCCAAAACATTAATATTGTGACAGCATCTGCGAACTGGTGAGGTCATATTAAGCCATGATAATTTGAACACATTAACTGTTGAAATAGACAATATATTAAAGTTAGAACTCCTAGTGTGGGAGTCCCAGGAAGCCATTCAAGGGGACAAAAGAATAGACTTACTGCCTACTAACAGGTATGTAGTAATAATTAACTAATTAGTGATGCTTCTTTGAAAGTCGGAGTGCATCTGCTGGAGAGGCGAGGAACCAACATTCTGCATACAAAAAAGTCAGATTTGTAAAACGGATACGTGAAACTTTCTAATGCACAGGTGAATATTTCTGATCTGATGTTTTTACTTGTGAAACTTGCTAGTGTACATGTGAATGTTACTGTTCTATCTGTGAGAATTTCTAGTGCACAGGTGAATGTTAACTTTCTACTTGTGAAATTTATGAGTGCACAGGTTAATGTTGTGTTTATACTTGTGAAATTTATGAGTGTACAGGTAAATGTGTTTATACTTGTGAAATGTACGAGTGCACAGGTTATTGTTATGTTTCAACTTGTGAAACCTATGAGTGCACAAAAGATTGTTATCTTTCTATTTGTGAGACTTTCTAGTGCACATGTAAATGTTATGTGACACTAGTGCAGCGTGATATCCTTATAGAATTATAATATTTATGCCAGGAATAATTCCTGGTACCCATTCAAGGTTCTGTCGACCTGGAAGCTAAGGTCATGCAAGAAAAGAAAAAACCCGGCACAATGCCAATTTAAGCCCACGATCTTTAGACCTTCAAAGGATCGTTTAGCCACTACATCTGGGTGGATCTCAGGTAATTATGAGGAAAAGCATCTTCTATGATCTAATGTAAAGTAAAAAGGAAAGGTCCCTTTTCCACGTCTTTAGGCGTATTGGGACTAAAGGGTTAGACCTATATTTGTATAGGCAAATCGGCCCTTGCTGGGTGATGAGGTCAGCATCACGCCGGCCGTCTTTACTTCCCAGGACTGCACCTGGTAACCACTCAAGGCTGAGTTGACCTGGGAGTCAAGGTCATTTGTGAAAAAAGTCTGGCTCCGTCAGGACGCAAACCCATGACCTGCCGATCCACAGGGCGGGTGTCTAGCCGCCAACGCCACGACGACTCCCTTATGATCAAATGAATAAATAAATAAAAAATACTAATGCATTTCAAATGACATGGGAGTAAGACACATTTTTGTTTGGAATAGGGCATTGCTATTCAACTAAGCTTCCTCAGGGGCCAACAGTTTTGAAAACGAGAATAGTCAGGGGCCAGATTTTCGAGCCCCAGCATAGAAAGAGCATTAATACAATACAAATGGCAATGATTCGAGAGCCATGTGCTAGGCCTCTAAGGCCAGATAAGGCACAAAACCAAGCAGTTGAATAGCTCTGGAACAGGGCATGCCATTTTTTTTAAAGAACTGTAGAGCTAAATAAATTCATGAGGAACATGTAGCTGTTGAAATAAATGCAACTTTGAATATATGCAAATCTGAGGGGTTAAAAAGTGAAAATCTTTACCAGCTCCTTGTTATCCTCCAATTTTGGTTTCAGTGTACAAGTCATGAGAAGATAACCCATGTATTCCTCCTTGTCTTTCTCGGTCAGCATCACCTTGAGTTCTGTTTCCCTAGAATGAATTAAGGGAGGAAGGAAAAACGATTTTCTGAGTCTTTAAAAAAAAAAAA